CAGGAGGAGGGTACTATCGGAGAGCTTCTATTTCCTAGCCGCTATCTACAGATCTCAACCCTCCTCGTGCCGCTCCCTTCCAAGGATGTCAGAGAATGGCATATAATCATTCCACGGAGAGTTATCACTCTTATTTCCCCCAAATAGCAAGCTATTGGACAGTCATCGAAAGAGGCAAAGGCGGCCAGAATCTCACCTCAGTTCAGAGCAGCTAAGCCGTATGTGAGAGGCTCTTATCACAGTATATTCCAGATTCCTGGAATTAATGGGCAGGGCATTTTCCAAAAGCCTGCTGATCTTTTGACTGTCAAAGTGCGTAGTTTTAGTGCTTTCTGACATGAAGTGGAGCATAGGAAGGGTAGGGATGGGTAGGTAATGGGGAACAATTTTAAGTCGAGGGGTTGCCTCCAGGAAAGGAGCCCTGGTGGCACAGAGGTTGCAGTGGTTAGAGCTCTTGGCTGCTGACCAAAAGGTCTGAGGTTCGAATCCATCAGCAGCTCTGCGAGGGGAAGACGTTGCTAGACCTCTGCGTAAAGATTTATCGCCTCGGGAGCCCTCTGCAGCAGTCCCCCTCTGTCTCGTGGGATGGCTTGGATCCAGTGGAGGTAGATCTGGGGGCACTGGGAGGGGGCTCAGGTGCAGTGAGTGCTTGGTGGAGTCAAAAACCAGACTCATCTTCTGAGGTGAAGGCCAGTCCTGGGAGGGGAAATGGCAGAGGGAGTCCGGCACCACTGCTTGTCCTACACTCAGGAAAGCAAGGCCGAAGGACCTCAGGTCCAGGTAGGGGAGGAATGAGACCCAGCAGCGGGGACAAGGCCAAGCTGCCAGCAGTAACTTGTCAGGTTGGGTTCTGTTTAGAAAACCCCTTGTGTTTTGTTTTCTGCGATTCTTTCCCAGAACCGTAATGCTCAGCTCACTGCTCACATGACATGATCTGCAAGCAGACCGAAGCTCCACGTTTAGTCACTGCCCTTCTTCAAAACACATTCAGGCTTTGGGTTGACTCTGGGTTTGCGGACAAAGAAAACCCTGATCTTTTTTCCCTTATCATGTCCTGGCCAGGAACATCACACGCTGCCCCAGGTAGTCATACTGCTAAGCACAGCCTCTCCCTACCTGCTTCACTTTCTGCCTCTCCACTTCCAATTCAGATCTCCATTCTAGGAGCCCCTCTTTCCATCAGCTGAGAAGTGGTGGAAGTGGGAAACAGACAACAGGGCCTCAACAGGTTCCCAGATGGGTGTTCCAGAAAGATCTTGTCAGTACCAGCAGGGAGCCGAGGAGGAGAGATTCTGTATTTTGGTTTTGACATCTGCTGTACTGCCTTTGGAGCCCTGGTGGTGTAGTGGTTCCACACTGGGCTCAGATCTGCATTGCTACCCCCGGTGCCCAACATCATCTTCCGAAGCCATGATTGAATTTCAGTTCGACCTTTACCTGGATTTCATCTTAAACAAGGCCCTTGCAAACTATGCTCAAGTTCCTTTATCCAGGCAGGGGCTGCTGGGAGGGGTTGTTGGGCATGCTGGCCCATCTGAATGTGTGTGTGTGTGTGTGTGTGTGTGTGGAGTTAAACCTCCCTCCCTGTAACACATGACGACTCACAAGAGGAGGCAAGAAGACAGTTCTTTGATTAAAGATATATTTGTGACACTCTGTCTCACCTGCAGCTTAATGAAAAGGACAAGTCCCCTTCAAGCTTGCAATGTTTCGCTCCGAGACGAGGATTGGGACCTTAGGTGGGCTTCTTGCTTGGATGGTACGAGCTGCCCGGGGACAGTGCCGAGGACAGTGGTGGGCGTGGCCCAGGACTGAGGCACAGGGAAGTTGATGAAAGCGGTACCGAAGCTGATTGTCCGGGACCTGGGGCTCATCCCCAAAGGTTGGGCCCACATGCTTCTCAGCGGGAGGAGACTGGGGGTTGGAGTCTCCTGTTGCTGAGTCCTCTGTGGGACCTGGCCCCGGCCCCTCTGGGCCTGGGGCTGGGACCGGCCTCTTCTCGGGGGTTTTCTTTGTTTTTGTCACTTTCTCTGCCGGACAGAACATGGGTTCTTTATTGGCTTTGCCTTTGGTCTTGGGATTGATGCTGTGAAGGAAGTGTGTCATCTTACTTCTTAAGCCAGATGCTGTAGGACCAGGGCTCTGGGCATTGTGGGCTGTTGCCACTTGGCCCTGCAGATGCTCACCCTTCCAACTCTGGCCCTGCAAAGGCTTTCCCTCCATCAGTGGGCGCAGCAGGGGATGACACTCTGGAGCCCGGGCCACCACAGGCGGGGCTGTCTCAGGACTCCTGGCTGGTTTTGTCATGCATTTCAGCTTGGTCTGACTGCCTTGTTGCAAGCCACTTTTATCAGATTCTTTCCCCCTACGGACCCCTGGCAGGGCCTCTGGGGGCTTGAGCTGATGAATGTGCGGCAGACCCTGCTGACAGGAGGCAGCAAGATGGACACTGTGGCTCCTCCTCTGGGGAGCTCGGGACGACCTGCTCAGAGGTGTGCCTGCTGGCCTCTGGTCTTCCTCAGTATGTCTGCTTTCTGTGGTCAAGGGAACCCCAAGCCCTGCGTCCCCTTCTCCATGATCTCCTGCGGGTCTGAGTGCCTGTGGGTGTTGTTTCTTATCTGTCAGTGTGGGTACTTGGGCTGAGCCCTTGCTCTTCCCTGGGCTTTGGGACCCAGAGCCCCAGATGTCTTCCAGGCTGGGGCTGTTCACGCTGGTCTCCATGTGAACACGAAGCACCTGCACATCGGTTGCCTCCTCACTGGGGGGTGAGATCTTGTCGCCCCAGGGGGCGGAACCAGAACTGGAACTAGCTTGCTTCTGGGTCTGCTGGATGGCCCTTAGCTCACCGGCCAGCTGTTTTTTATAGCAGACCCATTCTGGATCTGCGGCCCATGGGATATTTGGTGGGAGGGAACATTCAGTGTTTGGTGGGATGGAGCATTCAATATCTAGTGGGATGGGGCTCTCAGGGAGTGATGCTTTCCCTTGGTCAGTTGGACTCCCACGTACCTCCTGAGTGGATATGTTTTCTGAGGCTGCTGTCATTAGATCTCTAGACTCCCTTGCCTTTATGGGAATTCCCGACTGCATCTCTAAGATCTTTTTCTCCAGATGTAAATTTAGTTTGCTCAAGATGGTTGTCTTGAGAGAGTGTGGAATATCGGCATCAGTGCCCAGGTGTTCTTCCTCCAGCCTACTGGTCAGGACCCCTTGTGCACTGTCTTTGCAAGTTTCGTCCTCTTCAAAGCCTGGCCCAGGGCTGCCTTCACGTGGCTCTTCAGATGTCATCAGCTCAGTCACAGGCTCTGGTTTGATGTTGCCAAGCTCGGGGAGCATCTCTGTGAGTTCAGATGGGCTAATGATTGCTGGGACCACGGTCGTAGAGTCAATCATGTGAGTGAGAGCAGGCAGACCTGACCCCTGACCTAAAGTCGTCTCCTGTTCTTCAGTGGCTCCCTCAGCCGGAGACACGGACAACTGTGTGTGCCCAAGGACAGCGCCTGAGGAGAACTGTTGATCCAGGCCTGTTGGCATCCCAGGCACAGCTGTCGGACGTGGGTCAGGATCAGGGTCTGCAACGCAAGGGAAGGGAACCACTGCCAGGTTCTCAGGAACTCTGCCGTCCCAGGAGAGACAGACAGGGGCAGGGACTGTGCCCTGGTGAATCTGCCAGCATTTGGAGTTGATGTGGCTTTGCAGCATTGCTTTGGTTTGTGTGAGCCAGTGTGGCATCGGGTCACTAACCTCATTGGCCTCTGGGCCTTCAGGCGGGGCCACAGTCAGAGTGTCCAAGGCTGTGCTGTTCCAGTGTAGGGGCTGCTGGTCAGTAGGGGGCAGGAGTAGCCGGATGGATTGCTTTATCATTTGGGGCAGGCCCCAGTGATGGTAGATCAGCTTTTTCTGGAAGTGCAACTCCAGCAGCCTCCAGGCATGGTCTGGGAACCAGAGCTGTTCCCTTGGCAAGACAGACACGGGGGGCCAGAAAGTCTCAGGAGATTGGTTGGTGGCCTGGAACTCAGACTGCATGTGGCTCTGGGAAGCAGCGGGCAAGTCCCACTGAAGCTGGAGCTGTCTTCGAAGCAGGTGCCACTCCAAAGCTTCATACTCGCCCAGAGTCAGAAAAGGGAAATTGCTCTGCATTTGTTGAAGGTCAGGGGGAGATACCCACGTGTGGGTAGGTGGGGAAGAAGGTGTAGCTAAGTGAGGTGGATTATTCGGCAGCAGAGGGAGAAAGGAGGGCTTGTTGAAGAGAAGAGGAACCTTCGAGGCAGGCTGGGATATGCTATTTTTAGGGACGCCCTGAGAGTCCTTGAAGGTGATAAGTAGAGACTCACTGTGGAGACGAGGGAGGCCGTAGAATAGTTGGTTTGGCTTCCCGTGAGGCCCCGTGTCTTCAGCCTGACCTCCAGAGTGCGGAGAGAGGTTATTTAAGACCTCGAGAGTGCAAGTGGGCAAAGCCAGAGGCTCAGATCTTGGGGTTTTCTGGCAGGGGGGACTTCGGTGGCTTTGTTCTGGGTTCCTTCTGGACCATTCGGAATCCCACATGGCCTGGCGGGGCTGGCTGCCCATATGGGAGGCCCCAGTATCCTGACAAATGGTCCCAATTGTTTCAGCACAGGCATTAGCAATATCATTCATGACGAGAGGAACTAATTGGCTATATTCAGGCTGGCATGACAGTGGTGGGTCTTGCCTCAGCTGGCTCAGGGACTCCTCCACACGTTTGGGGAGTCCCCACCTCAGGAAATGCACCCATTTTTTAATATGAACCTCAAGAAGCCTGAGGACGTCACTACTGAGGAACGGCAGATGGGAAGGAAGGACAGCGTCGTTACACAAAACCATAGGATGTGGCTGGGTGGCAGGGTCCATGCATTCCTCAGTTCGTAAAGAAGACATCGTTCTCAGGTCTCTGGGCACATTTGGCAGTGGACATTCCTGGCCTAGGTCCAGGGGTGCAGTCCAGTAATCTTGGCCGCTTGATGGGCTAGTCGTCTGGGTTAAGGAATCTTGGTCTGTGAATTGGGACAGTGTGGAGGTTCCAGATGCCATTAAAAGCTCTCTGGAATGTTGGCAAGGCAGCTTCAGACTCTGCTCGAGAGAGACAGTAGACAGGGACAAAATCTCTGTGCAAGAGGAGCTCTGGGTCGCCCTCGCTGAAGAAGGGGCGACCAGGCTGTTTTCACGGGTGAACAGCTGCTGGATCTCCAGCGCCACATCGTCGCAGGTGGGGCAGCAGGGGTCTGCGCAGAGGAGCCGCCTCACCCTTCCCTCCTCAGGAAGCCAATTGTGGCTGGGAAGGGAAAGAATGACTGTTACTGAGGGGCGCCAGCTCCTCCTTGGAAGAGGGCGGCAGGTGGTGGGATGGGAGGTGGGATGGGTCTAGGGGTAAGGATTGGAAGCCCTGGGTGCCCCTTTGGGAGTTTACTGATTTGCTTTACTCAGGACAAAAGTTCTGTTCAACAGGTTAGCCCTGGCTGAAGGGTTGATATCTTGTTGCGTAAGGTCTAAGACAATCCACGGGTGGGTTGGGTCTTTTGAGAGGACTGGGGAGTGAGGTCAGTTCTCTGCTGAACTGGGTTGGGAAGCTGGACTAGGAGAGGAAGAACCAGGCAGGCGAGGGTGTCTGGTGGTCAGCAGAATGAGCACCACCAGGAACAGCTCCAGGTGCAACCTCATTTGAAGTTAAGAAAGCAAAGCCTGTTATTCAGAAATTCTGGAGGGTGGGGCCCACGATCGCTGTGGGAACCCTGCATTCTGGCAGTGTGGGGTGGCCCTGGTGCTGCCCAGAGTCTCTTTAAGTCAGTATGGTGCTCTCTAGAGATCTCCGCTAACTTCCCTGGAGACAGACCAACAGAGGTGATGGTGTATTTACACAAAATCCATGGCTTTAACTGGATAGCTACGTTCACTGCTGAGTCTCACCCTGACTAGAGTCTGCTTATAATCATTCACTAGTCAAGCTTGAATTTAAGGACTGCTATGTCTCTAATACCAAGAATGAAATTGGGAGTCTTCTATTTGGAGGTATTGGGACCCCTTCCCCCGCCCCGCCCCGCCCGCGGCCTATGCAACTGCCTCAACCAGTGAACCAACCATCCTTCCTATCCTTATCCATGCTCCAGGTCAAGTCAAGAAGTGATCACAGGCCATAGGGGGCTTGGGAGACAACCAGGAGCAAATCACCTTTTCATGACCGAGAGAAGTTGCCATGGCTTCTTAGCCTCTTTCTGGGAAGACCTCCTAGCTGAGAAACCAGAAGACAGTGTTAGTGCGACAGGAGAGAGTCAGGGGCATTCCCCGGGACATTGACTAGAAGGCGTTGGTCTCTGAACGATAGGAAACTGAACCTCCCCGTCATAGTCTAGGGTACGTCCCTGTGCAACTCAAACTGCGTGCTATCCCACGAAGACAGTGTGCATTGGATCTTCATAACCACAATGTGAGGGAGGCAAGATTGTGCGTGGGAACACTCGTTCTCTGTGTAGTGAAATTGACAGCTAAAATGACTTTCATTGGTCAGAAAACCCCCCAAACTCTAGTAAATCACATCATTAAGGATCTTCAGGGGAATGAGGTAGTGAATTTTGGAACATTCCCAGGTTGGTATTGCAACCAAGGAAGTTTCTGTGAGAAGGTGTCCATTTGCAGATGGAATCCTCCCTAGGTAAGTGTGTGTTTTTTTAAAAAGAACCTCACCCGCAGTGAATGGGAGTCGGAGGAGAGCCCGGGACGTTACCTCTTGATGCTGCGTCTCTAGTCCTTTGTCTGACTCTTCGGTGTCGCTTAAAGAGACAAAAGAGAATGCTAAGCTGGGACACCATTTTCTTTGACTCTCAAAATGAGATAAGACCCATCAACACATTCCAGTCCTCTTCGATCTTCCTATATTTTCTATGTGATTCTACTTTTTCTTTCTCTAGTCCATCTTATGTTTCTGTTTGATTGTAGTAAGCTATAGAAGAAACCATCTGCCATGTTAAACATCTCTCAGTCTACATTTCATGAAGTCCATTGACCTTATTTGCAGCCATCACCACGACCCCTTTGTGAAACCCTAGTCTACTTTTCCCCCTCCGACATTCCCCTCTTCTTTTTATTCCTGACTCGCTTCAAGGCTCTTCCCTATTGCAGACCTTCCATCTCATGCCCAGGAGAAGTTCTGTGGGGCCCGTAGGATGACGCAGGAAGCAAAATGGAGCGGAGGGAAGGGCTAGTGGTTCTTAGGCTTACCAAAGCTTTGGAGAACTACCAACCAGAAAAATTACCCAAATGGGGAGGTATTCTCAGATCCAGTGAGGCAGACTCCATGTCTAGTAGGACTTGACCCCAAGTGAGGGAACACATGCCGTAGGAAGGTCCTGGATCTGAGACCACCTGTTTCTGTCCTAGAAGTTCCGAAGGGTTGCTTATCAAAAATGGGGTGCATAGACGATAAAGAGGGGGACGTGATGGTTTAAAAGATTCTTGTCTGGGAAGTAGCTGAATGAGCGGCTAGCATGTTCCCCTACCTGGCAGGTGCTCTTGGTAGGTTCCAACTTTAATCCACAGGGTCTCTTCTTCACTCGCCAAAGAATTAGGATAATGATGAAGAGAGAGGCATAGGCATATAAGGGATATATAATATCCCACACTACAAAGGTAGGATTCAACATGGTCTAAGCTGTGTCAGCACAAGGAGACCAGTTATCCCAGGGTACTGGGATGGCCTAGTCATCTCTGCCTCACAGGGGTGGAGCCAGAACACTGGCTGCATCATAAAGCCTTCCTGTGTCACGAGGCAGAGATGGTGTCAAAGGTCTATATTTGTCTTAGGGATGCGCAGTCCATCGATGAAGACATCTGGCTCTCTGTGAGGGTTACAGCGCCTGTGATGAAAGGTGCCGCGGTTACAGTCAGTTTTGGACTCTCAACCATCTCTGCTCTCTACAGCTGACACCAACCTGGTGGCAAAGCTCCCTGTTACGACCACAATGTTGTCACCCATCCCCAGAAACGGAGTGTTTCAGTACCCAGGGCACCTTACAAGATGAAGTAGCTAGGACATAAGAACCCCCCCACCCCCCCAAATCCCTTCACCTGTGCTGTAAACACACCTGAAGCACACGCAAGAGTTTAAGGTAGGCAGAGTCTGGGTCAAGTTTGAAAACGGAAGGCTTTGATGTTACAAACTGTGGGTGACTGGCAGGCGTGATGCAGGCTGATGTGACAGAAAAGGACCAGGTGACAGTATCTTCAAATGACATTATGGGAGCAAGGAAGGAATGTCGCCAGTCTAAGCGAGTGGGATAAAAACCCTCTTAACCCTTCTCACCTGGAGGCACAGGAATGAGCCTCACGTAGGGAGGCCTGTCCAAGGGCTGTTTGTCCAGAGCTGCCCTTACAGATGTTCCCACTCACACCTGCTTAGGGAGATGCACGCTACCTGCAAAGATGGGGTAGGGGCCCCTTTCAACTAAGGGCCATCAACTGGTTGCTTGCTTGGGTCTGCTCAATCTGCTCTGCATATTGACTGCTTGATGGAAGGGGCTTTCTCTTCTCCTTCACCTAGAACCTGGTTTTTAAACTTTAAGAAGGACACGAGTTTTCCAATTCAGCCTTCCCAAACCAAACCAAACTCACTGCCATTGAGTTGATGCCGACTCATAGCAACCCTGTAGAACTGCCCCTGTGGGTTTCCAGGACGGCGACTAACCAGTCCTACTCTACTCTCGGAGAAGGCCTGGCCCCGGGGACAGTGAAGAAGCTATGTGGCTCTTCTTTCTCCAGCAGGCATGGCGAGCACTCAATAGATGCCCAACCTCAAGCTGGGCAGTGTCAGGGGTACAAAGCCATTTGAATCATGCTGCTGGACTGCCCTCAGGATACTGAAAACATTTCAAAGACAGGACCAATTTATAGGAAGTGAGAGGCTACAACCGGCAGTCATTAGAATTCCCTGCGTCCCTGTGAGGCTGAGGGAACACCCTCACATCGCAGAGGAGAGAAAGGGTAGTGAGACTCAGGGTGTCCAGCAAAAGCTCTTTGGGAAATCAGCCCTGGGGCTGAGTCTAAAAGTGGAGGCTGTAGGGAAAAGGGATCAGATCAGCGCGATCTGATTCAGATCAGAGAGAAACGCACACACAATGGCAGGAAATGAGGAATGGGCCAGCAGTTTGTTCCAGGAAGCAATGCAGTCTATCTTTACCAGAGGTGTATAGATTGTATAGATTGAAAAGGAATTGTAAGGAAAGATGAGAGGACCAGGGATGAGTCCTCTTGATGAAGGAACGGGGTATTTATTTAATTTCAAACACTAAAAGGAATTGATTTTTAAAAGGAGGCATACGTACACATGGAGCTCCGGGGGTGAAGTGGGTTCCGACTTGAGCTGCTAACCACAAGGTCGAATCCACTAGCTGCTCCTCAGAAGGAAAATGAGGTTTTCTACTCTCATGTACAGCCTTGGAAACCCACAGGGGCAGTTCTACTCTGCCCTACAGGGTCACTGTGTGTCAGAATTGACTCCATGACAGTGAGTTCTAGTTTGCTTTGCATGTATTCATGGTACACAATTCAAACATCATGAATAGGTACACAGATGTCTCCTTCTGACACATGTCTGCCATCTCCCAGTTTTCTTCCTTGTGTGTGTTTCAAAACTAGTTCAGAATGGGATGCACAAATTACCGTATACGTTTTTCTTTATCGTGTACAATTTTCTTTACAACTATAAAAACATTACAATTTCCCCTTTTATTTCATTTAATAATATAAATATATTTTTATAAACAATCATTTTATTAGGGGCTCATACAACTCTTATCACTATCCATACACACATCAATTGTGTAAAGTGCATTTGTACATTCATTGCCCTCTTCATTC